GGGCTGGGAGACATTGGCGAAGTATGGGTTTGCTGACCCTTACTTTTTTACGGGGGCAGAGGGGACCCCTGAAGGCAGCAGTCAGTTGCAATCAGGTTTCATTTTTGGTGTAGAAAAAGCTTAAAAATGGAGCATGCGTGAGGCTGTGCTTAATTCCTGACTGTCCTTCCGCAGCGTGGACTTCAGCCGGCCAGTCAGCAGCTCGGCAGCCTGTCATAGCCAGCAGTTTCACCCCCTGCTGTCCGGCCGTGCCCAGGTGGTCCTCTCCTGGTGGGACATTGAGATGGACCCCGAGGGGCAGATCAAGTGTACCATGGCCCCCTTCTGGGCACATTCGGATCCAGAGGGGCTCCAGGTAAGTGGCCCGGAGCTGAGAAACACTTCCTGGGAGTCAGGAAACCGGGAATCTGCCTTTGCCCTTGAGAATGTAGTGTGTTGAATGTTGGATCGATCGATGGATTGACAGATGAAGGGACTGACTGTCAGAACCCCAGGCAACAAGTACAACGCAAAACAGAGGCCAGCTGTCATGAGGGGACCTCTGCACGGGTGCATGGCTTCGGGGTGGCTGCTTGCCCTCCTGGCTCAGCCCCTCCCTCAGCCCCTCTGCTTCCCCGAACATATACTTCCACAAGCCACAGCCGGCCACCTGCATGCAGCCTCTCTAGCTGTGAGCTCAAAACCCACCTAGACCAGCTCTCTAGGAACTGGGCCGAGGACAGGCTGTGTGCAAACAGCAGCACGGGACACTCGCTGCTATAAAGAGCCAGGCAAGTTTCAAGTGCCTGGGACCACATTAGAGAGCAAATACGCAGCAGAAGCTCGGCCCACAGGGTGTGGGGGATGCTGGCGGGGAGGAGCTGGAGCTGTCTGCCGGAAGTGACACCCCTGCCGGAAGTTGGTGCTCTGGATGGCCGAGACGAACTTGAGTGGGTCTTCAGATCAACTTGCCCAGGGGTGGATGAGGGTGCTGTCTGTATCCGGAGGTGGAGGACCTTTGTGGGTCTGATGGTCACATACAGTAGTAGCATGTAGTTTGCCTGCTTTGCAGCGAAGTCCAGGACAGGTAGGGTGGAGTGCCCCTCTAAGCAGTGGGGTTGGCATCCGACTCTTGGGCAGCTCGGCCCCTCCCTGGACCATTTCTTCAGGTGCCCACAGTCAGGCTCTAAAAGAAACATGACCTCAGGATACAAACAGCCACACGTGGTCAGACCGTGTGAGCCAGTGCCTCCCTCTGGCCTCTTCTTCCACAGGAGGGGCTTTGGCAGCCAGCTCCCGGGAGCTTGTTCCTGCTGCCTGCTTTGTCTGCACGGAGCCCCCAGAGGCGGCCGAAGGCAGCTGCTCCACGGGGTCTTGACTCTAGAAGCAGCTGCCTGGGAGGGATCTGTGTCTGCACTGTTAAAAGACAGTTGGGGTGCTACCAGACTTGTTGACTATAAATACACAATTCTGTGATCTGCATCTTTACGCAAATGTTGCTTTTCAACATTTTTTTAAATCATTTTATTAGGGGCTCATACAACTCTTATCACAATCCATACACACATCAATTGTGTAAAGCGCATT